TTTTTTTCCAGTTTGAGAGAAAGAATGACGGAAGAAGGAGCAATAGACGAAATGTATCAACATCCATAATGTCCATATGTATGCTGAGCTATCATACATACACTTCAATGCAGAGGAGTCTCCTGGGTGCTGATATCCAAGGCCACACTGCTGATCTAGTCCTTCAGGTCCATCCACGATCACAGTTCCGCTTCCACCCTGTTAAATGGAAAGGGAGGGAAATGGGCGGTGCCATATTCTAGTGTCATCATTCACACATTGGAGGACATGTTGGGGACACCTAATCAAACGGCATACAATGAAACTCGAAAGCCACGCGCAACGTGTAAAACATTGTAGCCCTCGAGTAGGGACTCGGGAGGGTCTTATCAATGGCTGCAATCAATATCAGTACTCCAGGAAATATCAATAACATCTCCATTACTTACTACCGATATGGTTCAATTAGATATCATAGTCATGGGAAGGAAGTTCAATCCCTAAATTAAACAAATAATGCTCGTATGATTGCCATTCTTGAGTTATAATATGGTACTGGGAGTGAAGAAACTCATGTTAACTGAACATCACCGGCCCAAATACGGAGTATTGAAACTTCAAACTCGAGCAGCACCCAATTGCTGCTCATTGGTTGGAAGGCAAAGGGACCGCCTGAGTAATCGCTTATTAAGCCCGTCCAGGGAACGAACCCAATCCAAACCCTCAACATTTTGTTCCTTGCCAGCTCACCTGCTGAATTCGGTGATATCTCCTTGTTGGAAGCCAAAACACTATCTGGTCATTATAATGTTGTCTGCGAACTATCGGCGTCCAGGATGGACTGCCCCAGCTTTCAGAAGTGGCAGGCTTTCAATATACGTCTTATTTGGCAGATTATTTAGCCATCAGGAGACTAAATGCGTACCAGCTGCCGTAATTTGACCTAATCCAACGAAAAGGACGTATCATTTCACTGTCTGCTTCTTCTCACCCTTCAGTCTATTAAGAATCGTGCAATAACATTACGCTCCAACGCCAATATCGCTAGTCTCTTCCCTGGTAGAGTGAATATGTAGATGGTTGGTAGGTACCAAAATTCATAGGCTGTTTGGAAATTTCATATGGCAATTTTTTGACACACCTCCTGGCCATAAGCTGTACGTTGAGCACCGATGGCCTTGATGTCAACGACCGGTTCCATACTCTATCAAAGTTCTTCTCGTCATATACCAGGCTGTCAGGCCTTTCTAAATCTGAGTTGTTTCTGTTCTCAGCACATATGTATATATATATATATATATATATATATACACGGATTGAAACCCCAGACGCTAGTCATCGAACATGGTGGCATGTGGAAGGATGATACAAAAGAGAGGAAAACAATACCCTCCGAGCCGCAGGCCGATAACACTTCTCGATGCATACCGGTGAAGGCAACAAACACGTACATGATGCAATGACAACATATAGCATGCAAGATTGATTCCAACAGATATTGCAATGCAAATTGTGTCAATAGACGCGGAACCCACATCTAATCACCCGCAACGTTACGACTCCAAATCCAGTGCTGCTATAATCCTATGGAGGGCGTCTTGGAGCAGGTGCTCTTCTCTTTTTTTTCTACATTCGTACCCACCCCTTCTCTTTGAAGGTTCCGTGGTAGCTTCCTCCACCTTGAACTACCACTCCTTTCGCTTTGAGTTTCGCTATTATAGCCGATTCGTCTTCCCAGGTCTTCGCACTTGGGGCCAGCCTTGCAAATATATTTAATCCTGCGTTTACTGGGATGTAGTCGATATGATGGCGAATAAAAAATGTAGTTACGAGGATATATGATTCTGCTAACCTAGCCGAGCTCAATGCGACTAACAGAGGTAGTGAGGGTGAGGAAAGAAGAGAGGTTGCGGATAATGCAGAAAGCAAGGAAAGCTGAGTATTGTATGCGGCTGTAGGTCTAAAATTGGCCTCTCCGTTATCCTGTGATACTATACAGCCCTTTTCTAAATTAGCAACCAAAACTCAGATGCTCTAAGGGTTGGCGATAACCTACCATTCGACATTCACTGGAGCCAAAAGTTTTACTGGTGCCCCATATTGTGTGGATGCGGGACCGGTCACATCGCAATGCGCTAGCATCCAAGGACAGGGCCGAAATGAATGGAGCTGGGTCAGAAATCTCCGCACTGGAAAATGTCGTCATTGCATACACTTCATCAGCAATCAGGTGTATATCCCGTCGCTGACAAAACTTGAGACAGGCTTCCAGAACTTCCTGGGTATAGCATTGCCCGAATAAGCTATGTGGGTTCGTTAAGATGAGGGCTTTTATCCTGCAGGTTGCGTTATCCATCGCTTCCTCCATCTTGGGTATCAACTTTGTTGTGAAAATATCCGTGAATTTTTCTGTTTTGACTAAAACCGGCTGGACAGATGGACGATCTCGAAAATCCACCTCATCCCCATCTATAATGCTCTGATATGTTATTCATCCGCTGCGATTGTCCATACGACGCTTTAATGTGCAACCTGGAGTTGTAACAAGGGGAACTCACTCCAACATGGTCCTGGCACTAAGACGCCGTCTTCGGGGTCGCATATCTCATGAAGCAACGCATCAATACAACTTTTCGTCCTTGGCCCTATGGTAATATGATGTGGGCTGACAGGTACGCATGGATTAAAATAGTTGTTAAATAAATTTGCGAGGCTTCCCTGAAGCGTTGGCTCTCTCGCAATCCCTCTCGCATACGAGTGCTGATATTGTGATAATTAGTAATATTTTCATTTAATATTCAGGATGGTATAATAGTCTCACATGCGGATGCAATTCGTCATTTATGGTGGTTTTGCAGTTGACGGCTAGCTCCTCTCGAAGAAGGCAATTATCATTTTTAGACAAGTCGATATCGAACCCCTGAGGATCACCGCGTTCGATTTTTCTCATCATGATGGATGATGTGATTGATGAAATGTTGGATGCTCGAGTGGAAAACTGCGAATAACCCATTTTGGTCACTATCCTATAGCATATGCCCCGAAAAAAAAAAAAAAAAAAAAAAAAAAAAATTGACTGTTGGCATTGGCCGTTTCCTTTCGCCTTCGAGGATTGTTTGTTGCTTTTATGCACTGTACAAGATTTCGTTCCGGCTGACAATGTAGCGATTCACGGCACTAAAACACAATTTCCGCTCCGGCTTTCCGTCACCTGTTTGCGTCAAGCTGGGATTTTTATTTCAACGCTTGCTTGGACATTTGAACCCCTTCGGACTTCCGCCCCTCAATTGGCGCTTACACTTTCTTGGAAAGTGGTTCAATTTCGAATCGTTACGATGTCCCGCTTTGGTTATATGATCAATATCGGTTAACCGGGATCCCCGTCATGACTTGAAGAGACAAATGCGATCGCCCCCTGTTTCTCCGGAAATAGTTATCAGCCACACCCGCCTGAAGCCGTGCCCGTGTGTTGTTTTTCCGTGACCCAGTGAGCTAAGTTGTTTACTGGATCCTTCGAGACGATCCAAAATGACGTGGTTGAACTTCCAGAGATATGTGCAAACCCGAAACAGCTTTCGTCCGTATATAATATTCAGGACGCAGAAGCTCGCTCAAGATAACACCATTTTTTTCCATGGCAATTGCGGGAACTCTACTAATTCCCGAAGTTCAAGTTCATTATCGGTTTGTACCACTTTCCTAACCTGATTAGACTCCAAACTATGAACGCTAATATTTGAGGTCCGACGCATGGTTTTGCTCGAGTCATTCGCTGTCGACCTGTCATATATTGCGTTGCAAAGATAGTTCGATTTCACTATCAAGCTAATACCGGTAATGGGGGTGTTAACTTTACTCCTTCAATTAAGAAAGTAGACACTTCCCAAATACACTTGAAAACTCGGGGGCATATATCTCTCGGTTTCAGTCCTAGTGAAGAGGAATACCAATTCAAATTATCTGCTTTCTACATTTGTGAGGAAGCGACAAGTGAGAAAACGCCGGCAGCTGTTGCTGGCCTTAAACTTCCAGATACCGCAGAAACAGAGTGCACTTCGTACTATCACGCCACGGGTGGTCTGCGTTTCGAATTCTTGATTTTCGCTGGACAAAGAACTAAGAAGAAAATAAATCAAATGAAAACTTAGTGTAAACGAGTCGGGAATTCGGACATTAATTCTCAATTGTCCGAGGCCGTCTAGCAAAGCAAGAGAGCATCTTTATGACAGATTTTACTTCCCGTTTTTGGACATTTATCATGAAATGATGGGCTACCATAACGCCAACGTGGCAAGTTATCGACCAACTTAACTCTTTTCACGCCATTCCGTGGAAGAATTCGCCTGGAACTCTTCGGATTGGCCTTCTCCACTACGGCTGACGATGTATTTCAAAGTTATCAGTCGGATTTCGAGCTGTTGGATGCCGCGCAAAATGTGGTCGGTAGGTTGTTCGGAAAAGTCCGTCCCTTGTTTATTGTCCTTATGTGGATGGCATATTGCAGGACATATAATCCGTATAGATGTCTAGCTTGTTCTGTGGAAGGCGTCAGTCCGCAAAAGGCTTGTTGGATACAAGATAACTAACGGCTTGGTTGGCTTTCCCCCTTTACCATTCCTGAGAAAAAACAATTATGACTGCGGCATCCCCCTACTTGGTTTCAGGTGTGGCTATGAACCTCAACTGATTCTAACAATGAGGAAATATTCGTGGCAACTCCCTCATATCAATAGACAATACTATGTATCCCAAAAAAAAAGTAACATAGGACGCGAGAAGTCCAGCCGAAACCACGATATGAACCGAAGCTTGATCGAAGCTAGAGTGGTCTTGGCAAGCCAAAGGCCCAGCCAACCTCGGCAAAATCTTTGAACGACTTTCCCTTTCGAGAGAATGCATGGGTGCGCCGTTGGGCGTCTTACCCCTCCACAAAAAGGTCAACTACACTGGCCAGTATATCAGTGCCCCCATCCAAAATGGAAAGTGAACTCGGGTGTCAGAACACAGCCTTGCTATGGCCCGGTATTGCTTTTTTCCCTCCTTTATCGTTCAAGCTTTTGTCTCGTTAGAGGGCTGACGATAATTCTGCTAGGAGACTTCTTAGTTGTTAACTTTTTGAGGAAATGGATCAGATGCTTACAATGCCGAAATATCAGCAAATGGTAGCACTCCACCGCAAACTCTGCATCCTTTGCTAGGTGAATTTTGCCCTCCCGCTGATGCCAACCTTGTTGTTTTAAAGTTTACGTGACGTCCTGGGGTGGCTTTTTGTCTGATGCGGTGAGAGCCTTTGCGATGTAACA